TCCCTCCCTCCCTCCCTCCCTCCCTATTTCTCTTCCTTCCTCTTCTTCGTCTTTCTCTTCCTCTCCCTTCCCTCCCTCCCTCCTTCTTTCCTTCCTCTTCCTCTCTCTCTTTCCTTCTCCTCCCTCCCTCTTCCTAAGCAAGCAGGAGCTCAGCCATGGTGGGCTTTCTAAGGAAGCCCTGGCATTTTGCCTCGGACCTCGAAACCTCTCGGCAGCCAGCGCAGTGACCACCGTGCCCGTGTGGCGGGGCTGAGGCAGCTTGCTCCCATCAACGACCGCGTCGCTGCCGCCTGGAACAATGGCGATTTCTGAACTGTCTCCAAGAGCTGCCCCCTCCCCCCCGCAGGGCACGTGGCAGTAGTCTAGCCGAGTGGGGCTAAGGGCTTGGCTTCCTGGCCCACAGCCTTCTGCTCGTGCTCCTTTGAACTGCAGTTTATTCTCGTTTCCGTCCCTCCCCTCTGCCCTGAGTCTTCCCCACCACAACTTTAACGCTGTTTGGTCCGGACTAATCTGTTCCCGTAATTCATCCTTCTCCGACCTGGTGTCCTCCAGACGCTTTCGGACTACAAACCACAATAGCCCAGCTTGGTGGCTGCTAGGAGGTTGAGACATTGGGAAGGCATTTCTCATGTACTGTGGGACAGGATGATGATCACGTATAGCCTCACTTTGCTCTCTGCTAGGCTGCAGCACCTGGCTGACCTTGGCTGACTTGAAATTGCTAAGCAGGGTCAGACCTAGCTGGGGTTCAGATGGGAGACCACCAGGCAATCCCAAACCCATACACTAGAGTGGGAAGTTGAAAAAAATGGGGCAAACCACTTCCATAACACAGCCAAAGAAACCTACTGAGTCAGCAGGAGCCGATCTTAGCTCTCCTTTTGGGCCTAATAATCCTGATACTAACCCAAGGCCAGGGGGGTCAAAACAGCCAAGGTGGCGGCTGTGACCGTGCAAAGCCACGCCTCTTTTTACGTGCATCCAATTGCATGATCACAGCTGCCATCTTGCCTCCCCCCCCTTCCCTGCTGCCAGAATTAGACAACCCGCTGCCTGCCTGGATTTTCAGTGCTGGCCTCTAGCAAGGGATTGTGGGAGCTGTAGTCCGAAATACCTGGGGGGCACCAGGTGGTACCAGGGCCGTTAGCTCCGCCCAGACTTCAGCGGGGTCTCCTCCCCTCTTTAAGCCCCCTCCGCACGTGGAGGCCCAAGGCCAGGTTTACCCCCTGCCCTGCCAACTCGGTGAGAGGCAGCTGGTGTGCCCGGCCTCTTCTGCTCCAGCCGGCCCCATCCCGGCTCTCACTTGCGTCTGGTGGCGGCTGGCCCAGGCTGTTTGGCCCCCGCCCTGCGATCCCTGGCTGCTTGCCCCAGTGCGTGGGGGGGGGACTTCTACGGAACCGACAGCTGCGGGCAGAGAACTCTGGTGGCATTCAGCGCTAACAGCAACTGCCCTACCGGTCTGGAAAGGTGACGTCTCTTGAGGCCAGTTGGACACCTGGCGACGACGACCATGGATGCATTCAACAATGGAGAAGTCGGTTTGGCCTCGCTTGTTTTCAAATTCCCAGTCTGCCCTCCGCCCGTGAGATTTCCTGGTGGTGCCCCATTCAGGCACAGCCCCGGTTAACCTTTTTCCAAGGTCAGCCAAGGTTGACTCAGACCTATCAACTTGGCGGGCCGAGTCTGACTCTTAGTGACTGGCAGGACTTGGAGGACAGTCTTTGGGAGCAAGATGAAAGTAATTTACCCTGCAGGTTTTTCAAATTACCAATCTGGCATTTCCTGGTGGTCTCCTATCCGGGTACTAACTAGTTCTGACACTTTGCTTTTAAAATCCAGCCCAAATTAGTGACATTTATCGCAACAGGCATCCTTTCAAAAAGAAAGGAATCGTGTAAAAATTCATAAAAAATGTCCAAGGTAGGGAAAGCAGTGCATGGCACACGGTTGATATCCCAAAACTTCTGGGCGAATAACCTTCGAATGGCATTTCCCAAACCATTCTACCAAACTGAGTTGTAGTTGGCACATTTGACTGTTCAGTTTCATACAGTAGCTACTGAAAAAGTGCATATTCTGCTACTACATACACAGAACTAGGCTGTATGTAACGGACAGACATTTTGGGATAGCCCCAAATGCGGGGCGTTCTGAGGCTGACCAAATTCCAATTATATATAGCAGGAAAGTAATTTCAGTGCAAACAGTGAGGCTGAAATTCCTTGCACTATACCCACGCTTCATTCTTCCACCGAAATCACGTTTTAGCAGCTACTGATTTTGGATGGGTCCCATTGGATGCAAGTAAATATTTCTACTCTTATTAAGTAGAGTTTGGGTAAAATAATATTCTTCTGAGCACGGCAAAGATTCTGGGTGTTCTGCTTGCTTGTGGTTAGTGTCCTTGGATGGATTGCACCTTAGGCAATGTTTATTCACACAGTAAAGGTTCAGCTTTCAACCTCCAACAGAGCCCAGATCTTTGGCTCCACCATCAGCTATTGAGAGACGTGGGCACAGGGGACGCATCGCTGGGGAAAACAGATAAAGGAGGAACACGCCCTACCAATATTACAGTACTTTCCAAGACTTTCAAATTAAAGATATTTAAAATAAGCACAATTAGATAGGACAGCTCCTTGCATACCATAGAAATATCCGGGAAGAACCTCTTGGTGCAGAACAGTTTCCCTACGAAACGCAGTGATCCTGCACCTGCTGGCTTTAAAATTTGAAAAGCTGCTGCTGTAGAGGGCTAGGATTTCCCTTGCGTGCTCTAGCTTGATATGCTGGCTAAATCAGTGCGATGGGTTTACTCCTGGTTACCTGAATAGTCTACCCAATTTCCTGGATTCCCCCATAACACACCAAAGTACAGACCAAGCAAACAGCAAATGCGAAGCTAAAATGCGGTCGTCTCTGCAACGTGTAGGTCGACTTTCACTTATTCACAATAGGGAGCTTCCCCCCAATTTAAAATGACAAGAGCTCAAGTTGGTTGTGGCATATGGAACAGGAGAAAGATTACTTTTCAGACTGAGTCTCAAAACCACCCATCTCTAGACAATTTTGAAGTACTGAGCAGAGATCTGGCAAAGCATTTATAATGCAGAAATGCTTTTACCGAACTCTGTTTGGGGTTGCATTTATCTTCCATAATTGTTTAGAACTGACAGTAGGTTCTCGTCTGCTTTTAAGTGTATTTTGATCATCTACATTTTAGAAAAATAATAATTTCTGAATTTGCAGTAAATCTTGAAAATCATAAATCCAGAAAAAAGACAATCTGTATAGAAAGAAGGTCCCTATAAATTGAAAATGAGCACAATAGGAAGAAAGTTGCAGTAGTTAAAAAGTTATTTCAGTTGTTTGATTTTGAATCTCTGGGAGTTTGATACATAAGGAGGTTAAAAAAAAAAATTCTTTTAATCAGAACCTGTCAGGTATGTTGGATGACAACTTGTCTACCTGGCTGTGCTGACTGGGAAAAGGGGAGTTATAATACAGAAAGACTGTTGCTAGACAATACGTGTGGAAGGCCTGCAAATTTCCAGTCCCCAGCTTTCAACATATGTTGCAGCCTTCCACTGAGAGCAAATAATTCATCAGAAAAAGCCTTTTAAAAGCATTCTTCCCACTGTATTCTTAGTGCATATCAATTGAGTTGTTTATATAAATATATTCCAAATGCACGAATATGGCTCAGTGATCCAAAAGCCCAACTGATCCAAGAAATGACTTTATCCATTTTATTTCTCCCCCAATAATAGAATAGCTTCTCAGGCCATTCCTTTGCTAAGAAAACTGGCCTCCGGTTGCAGATTGATCAGAGAATTGCTTTCTCGGGCCAGTTCTGTAATGGAGACACGTCCCTTCCAGCGAATAAACTCAGCCACGGCCATCATCTCTTCTGGTGTGATGTAGATGAATTTGCCTCGGTCATCGATCACCCCTGGAGAAAAGGCCAGACCAGAAATTAAAATCCACAAAACTATCTATTTGGGCTGAATTAAAAGGGCTGAATGCTGGGCCTAATTTTTTTCAGTATTTCAAAATGTTTCAAAGCCATGCCACTCGAGGATGATTTAAAGCGTCTCACTGCTTAAATGGGAACGTTTGTTTGCACTCGTTTCACAGATATACCTACATCCCGGGGGGGGGGGGGGGGCCCCCGAGGAGGAATCTCACAAAAAGAGAGAAAAGGTAACTGACCCCAAATACAGTCGACTAATTAAAACGCACATGATAAATCAGCCAGAGAAGATAGCTGAAAGTAAACCCACCCAAGCACACACCTATGTGGGACGCAAAAAGAAAAATGAAGACAGATGCTAATCACCAGCATGCTGCTGAATCAGACTGTTTACTTAGTTCAGAAGCCTGTTTTAAGCTGCACCAGAAAGAAACTTCAAGAGCCCAGAGCCCAGATGAAGGCAGTTGCTCTCCTACTGTGCAAGTGGAATTCCAGCAGATGGCAAAGAGGGTCCTTCCTTCCTTCCTTCCTCCCTCCCTCCCTCCTCTTCCTCTCGCCTTCTGCCTGCCTGCCTGCCTGCTTAGGGTTACAAAAGAACTACCTTACCCAGGATCCCCCCATAAACTTGATGGCTGAGAATGTGGAGTTTGGCCTTCAATGGTTAGAGGAAGCAGTTCTAACCACTACACTGCACCAGGTGCAAGACAGTCAATAGGAAAAGCAAAGGAAAGGAAGCAACCTTGCAGGAGGAGGATGTACTTCTTTTCCCTCCCCAAACAAATCAAAGGTCTCAACTGGACTCATCTTGGGAAAGGAAACCAGCTTATTTTTGTCAAGCAGCCATCAGCCAAAGGGAAATTCCAAGCAGTGACTTTTGACATTTTGCTGTATTATTTTGAGCCATCCATACCCGAAGAGCTAACATACTTTGAGCCATGATGATGCTGTAAACAGCCACTGCAGCCAAACAGAAGTGATCAAAAATATCAACAGCAGAGGCTCAGGTGTTGTGCTGGAGACATCTGCTTTGATCTAAACAAGGCAAGGAAATCTCGTAATATTTTGACTCTTACCTGTGAGCGTGCCATCTGCCATCAGGTCTTGGACTCTGTTAATTGCATCCTGTGAAGGGAAAACGGAGCAGGTAAGCAGGGAACTCCACAGTTCTAGGGAGGCTCACCTGTTTCCCAGCAGCCAACGACCCATCTGGGTTTCAAGGCAGGCCTACCAAGGATCTCTTTTGGGGATATTCAGGAAGCACAAAGCCCAGCTAAGAGAGGAGCACAGAGAACTGCGTTACGCCAAGCCACTTCTTGTCTCCCACGCTCCATTTTGTCCACGTTCACCTTCTCAAGGCTGGCACCTTCCAGAAACCCAACACATCTGAAGGCCACCAGATTTGGGCCAAGTGGTCAACAGGGAGCAACAGTGGCTCTCCAACAAAGGCACCATCCTCTGTCTTCTCTCTCCCAGCACTGACAAATTTTAATTTGCCAGCCATCCCCGGCCTCCCTCAGTTGGGCCAACCTTTTCACACTGTGGATCTCCACCAGGAAAAACCAAAGAGTTGAAAGTGGGCAGCTGGGTACCCAACCAGGACCAAAAAGACAGCTGCCATATGGCATGGAGATGCCTGGCAGCCAGCAACTTCTTTCTTCTTGACACTGTGCCATGACAACAAGAGGGCATATTACAGGAGCCAAATTGGACGTCTGTCTATTGATTTTAAGGTCTGAGCAAGGAAGAAAGAGGAGCCCATGTGCAGTCTCTGCTTGTGTTTCCAAAAACTGTCTCCCCCTTCTGGGGTCCCTATTTGCCAGACCGCCCACCACCACCTAGTTTCCCAAAACTAGACCCATTTTTATTCATCACACCTCCGCAAAATGTTGGAAGGAAGTTAGATAAAGGGGGACGATTTCCATCAGCACGACAGCCTTCTGAAAACTCAACAGAAGGGGGCCTCATTTGATGGGGGTGGTGGGTGGGGAGAAGTCAGCGAAAGAAAGGTCCAAGTCAGAAAGGGGCTGCATCCAGCCAGGGGCCGAGGAGAAAAGACGCCCCCCAACCCCCCTAATGCATCCCTCTGGGGGAAGTGGTTGGGTCAGAACACTGCTGATCCATCACTGTAAGCCCCCTTCCTCCTGGTCTTGTGACCCAGAGCCACACTGTGCTTCCCAATGCAGACAGATACATCCAGGGACACAACAGGGGGGAAAAGCAGAAACACATGCAGAGGCACCCCGTATTACCTCATTAATAGAAGAAAATGCAGGGGCCACCTTTGGCCCCTGCTGGTAAAGGGGTTGGAGAGAATTCCAGAAGCCAGGCTCTGCAGGTTTTCCCTCCCTGGGGTGTATGGAGGTATGTACTTATTATAATTATATTATTATATATTCGACTTATATAGCCACCCATCTCAATACATGACTCTGGGTGGCTCACAGCATTAAAACAAATACAAATACATACAAATACAAAATAAACAAGAAATAAAACACACAGCAGCCAGAGAATAATAAAAAGGCCCTCAAGGCAGCCTGGAAACAGACTGTGTCACACACCCAGGCTGGAGTATCATCATCATCATCATCATCATCATCATCATCATCATCATCATCATCTCCCTTAACTTGAAAGGGAAGGTAGTGAGAGTAATCAGCTGGCAGATGTTTTTAAGAACACTTTCAAAAAGAAACTGGCATTTCTTTTAGTCACTGGAATAAATTGAAGGTGACCTATAAAAACAGGTAAGAGGGTGAGAAAGCCTGCTGACATTTCCCAACCCTCAGCCCAGGATCTGGAGGCACTGCAGAGTGCATTTTGTCATCAGACATCACTGGCAGGGACTTGAACATCACTAACGTCACAGCACCTGGGGACTCTCTCACGGATGACCCACAACGTCTGGCATGCAAAGACGTACCTGCGTCCTGAGGCCCAGGTGAGAAGCCAGGTCTTCCAAAAGAACCACTTTCGCGTTCTAGGTGGAAGGGACAAGTTTGGAAATTAGCTGGTAAAGAGGGCACACTCTGCAGCTCTGGCAGTAATTACACCAATCTGTGGGTTTGTTTTACTAATGTAACAAGCATGCAATGTTAAAATCACTTTGGAAGGATAAAAGGTGAATAAATAGCACCGATCAGGCTGCACAGGGTTGGGAGTCTCAACCTGCAGGAGCTACTGCTGGTTTTTTTGTAAAAAAAATCACAGTGATGCTTGTGCATGGAAAAGAATCCACCACCCGTGTGAACGCACAATTGTTATCAGGGCCAACCCCAACAGCACAAACGAGTTTGCATGGTTTGGGGTTCTGCAGAACTCTCCATCAGATGAGTTGCACTACCAAGCAAGCTGGGGAGAAGCAAGAAAGCCCAACCGATCAGTCTCGGTGATCCTGCTCGAGTCTGCACTCGGTTGCAAGACGGATCGAAGGCTTTAGCAAATGGCTGGCGTCGCTGGTGTCCTACTACTCAGAGCCAAAGTGTAACAGCTGCTCGCCTCAACTCTGAAAAAGCAAACGCTGTCACCTGCTAAAACCAAAAACAGAATACAAGCCTTGGGGGCGGAGAAGAAAAATGGTCCATTGGAGGAAACCCAACCCAACCCATGGCTACTTTTGAGCCCCACCTAGAATAATGGGCATACACAATGTGGCTCCCCAGAGGTTGGACAGAAAAAGTGTTTTCATATCATCTTTCTAACGGGAGGTGGTAGAGCTCAGCCTGGGAAATTCTGGACACAGGCCAGCCAACCAACCAACCAACCAACCAACCAACCATCCATCCATCCATCCATCCATCCATCCATCCATCCATCCATCCATCCATCCATCCATCCATCCATCCATCCCCTTGACATTATGCCTGCAATCCCCAACAGCTCTCAACACAGTTACCAAGAATCTGCCTGTTGAAAGTTAGCATTATTCGTACCATTGATTCAAAACATCCCTGAATGATCACTTCAACGCCTTAAGATGCACATCTCAGAAAAGAATTCGCTAGCCACAAAAAAGACCACTTCCGAGGAGGAGCATCACATGCCTGGGCACCCGGGAGCCGACGCAGCCCAGGGCTCGTGCTGAAGGGCACGGCTTGGGAAATTCCCAACTCGCCCACAAGGACGGCAGGTGGTTTCGGGCCAGCCCTTCCACCCGCTCTTAGCCTGAGTGCAGCAGAGGAAACAGCAGGGCTCTGAGATATCTACCACGCTGAACAAGCGCCTTCTAAGTACTGAGCACATTTGCTCATGAACTGCAAGGGCCTCTTCCCCCCCAGCTCAGGGATGTGGGGCAGCTTGGCAAGCGAAGGGGAAGGAAATGCTCTCCCCTGATGACTGTCCATTTGGTGTGGACCAAATCCTGGTTCTACAGGCGATTCAAGGTGAATTGTGCAGCCAGCCTAGCCAAAATGGCCCCACCGTGTTTCTTGGTGGATTCTGAACAGCAAAGCCACGAAAAACGGGGGAAAGCTTTCTAAAACGGCTGGGCCAGAAAAGGGAACCATGAAACTGGCAGAGCTCGAGAGGGCCCCCTTCTCCTGCAAGCTTCCAGGACTTTCTTGGACATAGTTCATCTTAGGCCAAAACTGTTTGGAGAGAAAGCATGAAGTATTTCCTATCTCACAGGCAGCTTTGACTGGGGACACACTGGGACTGAAAACCAGACCGCTAAAGGAAATCCTTACTCTAACAAAGACGGGCCTATTCTGTTTGTGCAAAGACTCCCAGCAAAGGTGTGGGTTACCTGATCAAGCAGACAAAGTGACATGGGTAGATGTTTCCCCTTATTGGATCCTCCTAGTTTTTTCATTCAGAGCCTGTGGGGAGAAATGAGTTTGCCCTTCCTCTAGGTGTGCCAACGCTTGGTGCCGCAGCTCAGACCAAGCCCTCTATGCTTGGCAAGTTTAAGGAACCACGGCTGAAGCATCTGAGGCTAAAACTGGAGACATCCCTGATGGGAAGAGGCAGTCAAAGGAGCTGAACAAGAAATGAGGAAGCTCAGGGCAACCGTTTGGAGAAAAGTATTTTGGGTAAAGTTCACTGCCCGGAGATTTTTCTAGAGTTTTACTGAACTCAGTTCACCCCAGTTCACCTAACTAAACATCCTGGTATCAGGGCAGGGGGTGGGGGTGGGACTTAAGAAAATCGGGTAAGATCTAGCTAATGCTTTTGATATACAGAAAATCAAGCACCCAGCAAATATAGCTGATAAACTGATAATTGACGTTCATTAACACTATTAACTTTGAAGTCATCCAAGACCAGTGTTTCTCAACCCTGGCAACTTGAAGACGTGTGGACTTCAACTCCCAGAATTCCCCA